AGGATGCTGGGCTAGATGGGTATTTGGCATGGTCCAGAAGAAAAGAAGAAGAACTAGGGGTGACATAATAGCTGTACTCCAGTATTTGAGAGGCTGCCACAAAGAAGAGGAGGTCAACTTATTTTCCAAAGCACCAGAAGGCAAGACAGGAAACAAGGGATAGAAACTAATCAAGGAGAGAAGCAACCTGGAATTAAGGAGAAACTTCCTAACAGTGGGGACAATTAACCAGTGGAACAGTTGGCTTTAAGAAGTTGTGAGTGCTTCACCACTGGAGGTCTTAAAAAGAGACTGGACAGTCACTTGTCTGAAATAGGATAGGGTCTCCTGCTTGAGCAGGGGGTTGGACTAGAAGACTTCCAAGGTCTCTTCCAGCTCTATTCTGATGAAAGAAAGAAAGAAAGAAAGAAAGAAAGAAAGAAAGAAAGAAAGAAAGAAAGAAAGAAAGAAAGAAAGAAAGGCAAAATAGCAGTATTCCACTTGAACCACTGAGAAGTTTGCAAAATGATGTTGATTTATCTGTTTTTATAATAGGTTCCCCAAGCTGTGACCGTTCAGATGCTTAATTCCCATTATCCCCAATCAGAAACGACGAGAAGACCACTACCTGAGCTTAGATCTAACTTTTGATAATGTCTGAAGTCCATTATTTACTAGAATTTCCTCTGAACCATCTGGGTCTCTGAACTGTGGATATAGGCCTGCAGAGTGCCTTGGATTCTCTTGCTAAGGATTATAACTCAGGAGACCTTGTATGGTAGTTTCAGATATGAATTAATCAGGAGAGTGAATCAGTAGACTGAAAAGAATGTGATTTGAAAGGATTTTGGCTGTTAATGGGTACAATGTTTTTTTCCCCCCAAACAAAAAGGGCAGGACTTTCAACCAACTACACAAAAAATGGGCACACAAAATATGAAATACTCTTCTATAGTTTTTCCTGTGTTTCATTTGGTGGCAAGCGGATTCAGAACTTCCTTTTATTATAGCCTACTGGGGCAATAACACGGTTTGTGCCATACTGCCATGTATACTGTTATTTAGCAAATGTAGCTTTGCACTTTACTGTCTCTATACCATATAAAAATGTATCAGACTAAATATGACTGGACCTGATTTTTTAATACATGAAACGTGTATGGCTCTTCCACGCCACATCATTTTTACAATTCCTCCCAAAACAGCTGGAAGCTGGCCTCTGATTATGCTTTTTTGCTAGTCTTGAAACACGGAGAATTTGAAGAAAACCAAAGCTGAACAGTGTACCCTCTAAATGACTAGGAGGAAAATGTAAAATATATAATTCAATCACTATCCTGCAACCTGGTGAACCACAGGGGGAAAAAATGGAATGTTATGTGAAGGGAAGCTTCTGACCACAAAAGCATGATTTTTCAGCTGCATTTAAAAGCTTCTTACCGGCTGCACTGATGAAATGCAAGTATATCAGCATTACTCCAACCTTATGCTTTACTCAGAGATTACAGCTGCATGTTTCTGTAGTGGCTGGAGAGAGCAAGATGCCTTCTAAGCCATGTATTCAGATGAACATGTGGAACAGGATGATGAAACATTATGGATTATACACTAATGGCTGTCTTGAGGTCAGGAGGAAGGAAGTGGGATAAGAATTGCTACCAATGGGGGAAAGGTCCATCCACAAGCTCCACAGAATTGAAGCACTACAAAGGAAAACTCCAGCTTTGCTCTAATTTCAAATAAACTAGAATAGTGCTGGAAATAAGTTCATGGAACTTCCCAGATCAGCAGATGTTTGGAGATTGGAGCCATGTTTGAAACACTGCAAAGGCCTCAGCTGATGCTCTCTGGGTTTGCAATGAGTATAAGCTTTATTAACTCCACCGTAACCATCAGCATAACTAGGTAACTTTGCACTGTTTTCAGATGGTGAGGTAATTGCAGAAACAAATTGAATACATAGAAGTCAAGGAGAACATTTCAAAATTGGAGCAGAGAAGATCAAATGCCAAAAACTGAGGTCAACAAGATTATAGTGAGCCACGATGGCACAGTGGTTAGAATGCAGTATTGCAGGCTAATTCTACTCATAGCCAGGAGTTCGATCCTGACCAGCTCAAAGTTGACTCAGCCTTCCATCCTTCTGAAGCCAGTAAAATGAGGACCCAGATTGTTGGGATCTATACGCTGATATTTGTAAACCATTCAGAGAGGGTTGTAAAGCACTGTGAAGCAGTATATAAGTCTAAGTGCTAGCACAAGGCTTGATTTTAAAGAAGGCCCAACTATTACTGCACAATCAGAAATAAGCTCAGTGATTTCAGAATCTATTGTATCTCCAGCGACATTATTGAGACTCTGACTTCTCTCTTCTAATAGGCAGCTTATGTTAGCATTTGTGAACTGCTTTATATTTTCTATACATTTTAATAAGGAACTGATGAAAAATAATGACCAGCATGGTGGATGTGGGCACAATATACATTTAGCAGAAAGCAAACTGGTGAGAATGCTTCCTATCACACATTCTAATTCCCTACTGAACCTTGACTTTTTTCTAGAGCTTTTGAGATTTACTTTCCAAATAAAGTACAAGACTCCAGCTGAATAGTTACATGTTTGAAGGATTCCTTTGGAACTTATGTGGACCATAGAGATGTTCTGGTTAAGTAAGTGTGTGCTTGGCAGTCTAGCCTTTGCAACATGCCAGCTTCCCATTTAATTCTTTAAAGTGAAGAATGTAAAAATAAATTGAAATCAGATGAAGCAGGGAATCTGGAGGCTGCTAAAGGAGTATCTGCTAGAACATAGGTGCCCATGGGCACGAGGTTGGCTATATCTGTGCTAGGAGGCAAATGGGATGATTGAAAACAATATTAGATGAACTTAAAAAACACAGGAACTTTAAAAACCTCTCTTGCCAGTAAGTTATCTGCATTTTTTTAGTTGGAATAATTCCATTCTGTGGTGTGGAAATGGGATCAGTCCCTTGCTTTTTGTAAAATGGGAACTGAACTTTGTAGCTTTGAGTTGCAAGAAAAGTGTCTGCTGAAATCCCTCTCTGCCAAATCAAACATCTGGAGAGGCCTTTTCAAAAGCCCCTACCAAAATATTATCTCAGCATTCAATAACAGAATGTGTTTTGATTTATCTTGTCTCCTTTTTCTGCCCATCCCGAGTGCAGCACAGAGGGCATTGCAGCCTTGGAGAACAACCAACAAAACAGCCGTGGATATTCTGATATTTGTGAGAGCAGCCTGGGAAGCTGTAGGCTGCAATCACTTATACAGCTCCCCTGGTATGTTGAGAAATATTTTTTGGTCTTTCCCGTCAGCGTGTTTATAGCTGGAGCCTGCATTTTTGTGCGGTAAGCTCACAGAGCTGGAATCCCTTGGGATGTACAAATCTTACCCTCCTTCATATATTAATACAAGCTACACTGTGCAGCTGGGGTTGGATGTTTTTTGGGGGGTAGCGGCATGGTGTTTATTTTGTTTTATGTGAATTAATTTGTATTTCTTTTGCATGACACTTGCTTGTAATGATGGCTGACTGGTTGGCTGTAGTTTAGCCAGAAGTCCATCAGTTTCTCTCCTGTGGCTCTTTTCTTGCTTTCTTTCCCTTATTTACTCCCCTTTAGGAATGAAGAAAAAAAATGCCACAAAAGGCAAGGCATGCAATTCTAGGGAGGTTTCCTTTTAGTTGAGAATATTATTTGCATGTTGCTAATTGCTTGTGAGTTATCCTAGCTGGACACAACTTCTACATCTGGAAAAAAATAAGGATCTATGCATTTTCATTGTGGGCTCCTCCTTTTTCTTTTTTAAAGGAAGAATCTGTTAAGAGAATTACTTGCACCACAATAGATAATCCAGGTATCTCATGCAAAAGCCAGCCACTTTCCCATGAAAGACATCCGAGGTTGTTTCTGTGGTAAGAAAAGACTGTGGACTTTCACTTGTTATTTCTTCCAAGCCCAAGATCCTGCCCAAAACATTTTGCTTCAAACTGTCTGCCTCTTTAAGACACAACATAGAGTGTGCACAGCTGGCCAATTGGTATTACTTTGGCATCTGAGATAAAAGCAACTTTCAAAAATGCTTTTTCCTGAAGCCAAACCAACAATAATAAAAAAAGAAGCATAAATAAACAAATGCTGCCTTTTTATACTAACCCAAACAAGTGGCCTGAAAGAATGCTCTCACTTCCCAGAATTCCTGAGTCACCTATGCTATGCTGGCTCAGGAATGGGAGTTGAAGTCCACAAGTCATAAAAGAGCCAAGGTTGTCTACCCCTGGCCTAGGCCATATAAGGGGTTACCTAGGGAAAAAGCCAGGAGAGAAAGAGGTAAACAAATATATATATATATATAAGTTTTTACGGTTTTTAATATGCATCAGGATGCATAATGTCCATTAGCTCACCAGATGTTCTTCAGAATGCTAAGAGTGACGTTCCCAAGATAAATCGGGCCAGGAACCACTAGACAGCCTGTATCTTCTTAAGGCATGAGGCTAGAAACTGGAAGACTATGAGTTCTGGAATTGTCTGGGGAATGAACTCATCTGGGCACAAAGCTAGGCAAGTCACTCTGTCTTAGCCCTGGGAAGAAGTCAAGAGTAAACCACTTCCACAAAGTCTTGCCAAGAAAAACTGCAGGAACTTGTCCAGGAGTTTAAAAAAAAGATTTGAAGGCAAACACACACACACACACACACACACACACACACACCCCTCAAGGTTTTAAAAAATTAAAAGGGTTTCTTAAGAATCTTCCCAATTCCCTTGATATAAAAGGACCCAGATGCCTACCCCCCTCCCAATCTAAGATCACAATAGGAAGCTGTAAGGAGGTACTGTCGGGCCGTAGCAGAGGCTGCCCTGGGTATCTGCTCTGAAGGCGCCCCGACGTCCCGGGCGCGCGTCCCGACGTCCCGACATCCAGCTGACTAGCGGCATGTGCGGAAAGCATCCCGACGACCAGCTGGCCTTGCCTGCTTTGCACATGCGCAGACGACGACCAGCATACCACAACGCATGCGCAGATGGTCGAAAGGGCTAGAACTGCCCAATGCACATGCGCGGACACCGGGATGAAGCCACGGACAGTAATTGAGGAAATACAAGCTGCCGAAGCGTCGGGAAGCCGTCGAAGCATCGGGAGGTGGCAGCTGAAGGCTAGTATAATTGGGATGGGGGCCCGTATATGGGTATGTAGGACAGTCCGGAAGAGGGTGGCAGTCCCTGGGTGTTAGCATGGGTGTGGACTAGGCGGGATAGTTTGAAATGTATAAAAGAGCCATGACTGTAATGGTTGTCAGTGCTGACTTTAAACCGCATTTTTGCTGAAATAAAGTAAAGTTCTTCGTTCCTGACGTGGTGGCCCGTGTCTGTTGGTTGTGAAGTTGATGGTTGTTGGTTGTGAAGTCAAGACGAGGCAACAGTAAGTCAGCACTCACTTTAAACTCAATTGTTAGAGCGACCCTTGGGGAGTGACGGGAAGCAGCATGGCAGAAGGGGTGCAAGATGCTGTTCCGGCTGAAGACGCTCCAGAACAGATGGAGGACCAGGGCTTGCTCGTGGAACCAGCTGCGGTGGTGGAGGGGCCTGCAGTACGGCCGAAGGAATGGCTTCTTCCGCCAGCAGTGGATGTGGGACCTGAGACTAGGCAGAGGCCAGCAGTGACTGAGGCAGGTGAATGGTGGTTAAGTCCTACATTACAACGTTTGGACACTGGTCGGCAGCCTATTGTGGGCGAAAGGGACTCTTATGCAGCTTGGAGGGAAAGGAGAGTTACCGGTGACGAGGAGGATGAATGGAGTTACTCCACTGCTCCTGGACAATACACCCTTGATGTTTTAAGGGATAGGTTTGGGGAAACGGGTTTCCTTCCCAAACAAGGGGTGCCTCCCCAGCCTCCTATTGGTTTGTCTGGATTCCGTTTGGCTAGCCCAAGATTGAGGGTGACAGCAGCACAGCAGAAGCAAGGGGTGCAGGGAGGTTTGAACATGGGACCCACACATGCTAGTCGTACCACCCCTGTTTCTCTGCCTTTAGGATTTGGAGACCTTGGCCGACAATCCGCTGTTAGGGGGGGTCCACAAGGGGGTCAGCCAGCGTTAGTGTGGCCCACGGGTATGCCATGGACCCCTCCCCCTCTTGGGATTACGTTTGATGGCGATCCCGATAAATTGGCCATGTTCCTAGGCCATGTCTTGAATCATTTAGATCGCTTTGCGGCTCATTACACTTCACAGTGGGCCATAGTGGTAGCAATGACTGCCAATTTGCAGGGTGAGGCAGCCACTTGGGCGGCGGATTTGTTCGGAGATCACGCCAGTGAGCTGGCAGATATAGGCTCTTTCCTAGAGGCCCTGAGGGTACGGTTTGAGGACCCTACTAGGGTTCAAAGAGCGGAGGCAGAAATTGTATGACTAAAGCAGGCGGGCAGACGAGTACGTGAGTTCATCAGGGAATTCCAGCGTGTGGCAGGCCGATTAAGATCATGGCCTGAGAAGTTGCTAGTGCACCACTTCCGACAGGGGCTAGATTTGGAGCTACGACAGGCCTGCCTGGTGAGGGGAGTTTCGGCTCGTCTGCACGATTGGTATAGGGCAGTTACTGAGCTTTATGCTGGGTTACAAGAGATCAGTCCCGTGCACCTCCCCCCCACCCCGCACCTACACAGCAACCAGCCAGTAAACCAAAGACTGTGGGGGCTTCGGTACAAGCAGTTCCGCCGGTGGCGCCAAGGGGGATATTCCAATGTTTTAGATGCAATAAACCGGGCCATAGGGTGGCCCAGTGTCCACTGTCTCCAGGAAAAGGGGTGTCTGCAGGACAGTCTGTGCCGGCGGCGAGAAGGCAGGATGCCACACCATTCCGGGGTGCAGATCAAATGAGAGCTCTGAGGCAAAACGAAGACAGCACACCCTATGGACCGTCCCCAGGAGCGGCGGTTTCAACCCCAGAGGTGATACCTGACCAGTACGATTGGGAGGGTCCAGAAGAGTATCCCATGGTGAGTAGCCCAGTGGTACCATTTGCCATACCAATCGTCCTGGTGAATTGCAAAAATGGCCAACGCGTGGAATGCAAGGCGTTGATAGATTCAGGTTGCACAAGGTGTCTAATGAGTCGGAAGATTGTGGATGCGTTGGGGCTGCGGTTGAAAGAATTATCCCGGCCGATCAATTTCGAACAGGTGGATGGATCCCTGTTGGGTGGGGCACCGGTGACGCAAGTGACTGAACCTGTAAGGATGGAGATGAGAGATCATTGGGAATTAGTATGTTTTATTGTCATTCCATCAATGACCGAAGAAGTAATTTTAGGATTGGCATGGCTTGATAAATGGCAACCGGTCATATGGTGGGCGGGTGGATATCGCCGCATAAGATTGGCTATAGGTCTCCGACCTCTGGAGGATAGTAGTGAGAAACCATGTATGCATACACCACAGTCTAAACCACCTGGTAAGGAGAGGATCAATGTGGCAGTGGAAGCCAATGAAGGGAAACGTATGTTCCCGGTAGAGTATGAGGATCTATGGGATGTGTTTAGGGAGAAGGAATGTGACGTGTTGCCGTCACATCGTCCTACAGATTGCGCAATAGATATCATGCCGGGGGCAAAATTGCCAAAGCCCCGGATGTATCCAATGTCCCCCAGGGAATTGGAGGAACTAAGGAGCTACATTGATAAGAACTTGGCGCGCGGCTTTATACAGCCAGCCAGATCTCGGATTGCGGCTCCGGTAATATTCCAGGGAAAGAAAGATGGTGGATTAAGGCTTTGTGTGGACTTTAGAGGATTGAATGCAGTATGTGCTGAAAATATGTATCCATTACCCCTGTTGAAAGACATGTTAACCCATTTGTCCCAGGGGAACGTTTTCACTAAACTCGATCTTAGGGAGGCATACTACCGCATCCGCATAAAACCAGGAGACGAATGGAAGACTGTGTTTAATTGTCCTTTAGGGAGCTTCCAATTCATTGTCATGCCGTTTGGATTAAAGGGAGCTCCTGCAGTTTTCATGCAAACCATTAACGAAGTACTGCATGACTATTTATATCGTGGGGTATTGGTGTACCTTGATGATATTCTGATATATTCCAGGACCATGGCCGAGCATATAAAGTTGGTTAGGGAAGTTTTGCACAAACTCCTTAAGGCCCAATTATTCGTAAAACTCTCAAAATGTGAGTTTCACAAAACCCGTATCGATTATTTGGGATATAGAATATTGGCCTCAGGTATAGAGATGGATCCGGCAAAGGTGAAAGCGGTACTTGAGTGGCAGGCACCCAGGACGAGGCGCCAGTTGTAGAGCTTCCTGGGGTTCGCGAACTTTTATAGGCAGTTCGTTCCTGATTTCGCACAGGTGGCTCTGCCACTTACGGAATTATTAAAGACGCGGAAAAACCCTGTAAAACCCTGACCTGGCCAGTCGTTGGCGTGGACTAAGGAAAGCCAATTTGCATTTGAACACCTAAAGTCTTTGTTTGCCGAAGAGCCCATTTTACTACATCCAGACCCCGATAGATAGTATATTGTACAAGCAGATGCGAGTGATATGGCGGTAGGAGCTGTATTATTGCAGCAAAATAACACCGGTAATTTACAGCCGTGCGCATATACCTCGCGTAAATTGACAGAGACTGAGAGGAGATGGGCAATATGGGAAAAGGAGGCCTTTGCCATTAAATGGGCCTTGGTAACGTGGCGACATCTCTTGGAAGGGGCTAAACAAGAAATAGAAATTTGGAGGGACCATAAGAATCTGGCAGTGTTGCAGTCACCCCGATGTTTAGCACCGAAACACGTGAGATGGGCGCAATACTTTAAGTGATTTAATTTCCAACTTAAATATGTCCCTGGGGGTTGTAACTTCTTGGCGGACGCGTTATCTAGATTGCCCCAATATGAGAGCCAGAAGGAGGCATTGGTACAAGCCATAGTACCTCCATATATGCAGGGAGTAGGTAGGGTAAGTTCCTGTACTGATACCAAAAATATCGAATCGGAATTGAGGGCAGCAATACCACAGGACCCTTGGTTCCAGGAACATAGTAATCTGTTTACCCAAAGAAACGGGTTGGCGTGGTACGGGGCAAAATTATATGTACCACTTGTGTTAAGGGCTAGAATCCTTCAAAGGTATCATGATGTAAAATTGGCAGGACATTTTGGATTTGTTAAAACATTACACCTAACTAGACGCCAGTTCTGATGGCCCACGTTACTAAGGGATGTAGAAAGATATGTAAAAGCATGTTTTCTATGTGCTAGGTGCAAAACCCATCCAGGAAAGCCAATTGGGTGTTTACAGCCAGTAGCTGATCCGGAATATCCATGGAAGGATATTGCCATGGATTTCATTGTGGAACTTCCAAAGAGTAAGGGACATACAGTAATATGGACGGTAATTGATTTATTCTCAAAACAAGCTCATTTCGTCCCGTGCAGGAAGTTGCCGACTGCTCAGAAATTAGCTCACATGTTCCTTACACACATGTACCGTATCCATGGGGCTCCCCGGCGAATAATATCTGACCGGGGGGTTCAGTTTACGGCACGATTCTGGAAAGGATTCACCACCCTGCTCGGGTCATCGCAGGGGCTTAGCACCGCGTACCATCCCACTACTAATGGAGCGGCTGAACGGGCTAATGCAGCGGTGGAACGGTATTTGAGAAGTTATGTATCATACCAACAAACCAACTGGGCGGACCTGCTGGTGTTCGCGGAGGTTGCGTATAACAACGCGGTGCATGGCAGTACAGGGTACGCGCCATTTAAAGTGGTATCTGGAAAAGACTTTGTTCCTATCCCTGAATGCCAGCAATTTGATGCACAACCATGTCTCCCACAAGAGTGGACACAAAGGATTTGTGGGGCATGGGCTGCTGTGAAGACAGCGTTGGTAGAATATAGGCGAAAATGAAAGAGCAGGCGGACAAAAAACGGCCTGTAAGCCGTTCGTTGTAGGACAACTAGTTTATTTGTCCACTAAATATATAAGACTGAAGATCCCATGTAGGAAGCTGGGACCTAAATACATTGGACCGTTTAAAATCATTAATCCAGTTACTGTACAATTACAACTACCCCAGTTGTTAGGGAAAATACATCCGGTGTTTCATTGCAGTTTACTGAAACCAATATATATGTACTGGACAGGAACCGCACCAGGCCCTGTTAATGGTGACGAGTATGAGATACAAGAGATACTTGACTCCCGTATGAAACAACGTAAATTGTATTATCTGATTAGATGGAAAGGGTACCCTTTATCAGAGGCTACATGGGTACTGGCCGATAATGAACAACCTCCTCGCCTGGTTAAAGAATTCCATATACAAAATCCCGGAAAACCAGGAACCATTAGCACAGTGGGGGTTGGGGAGGTGGACGTGCGTGAACCAAAGTAACATGTTTTGTCTTTCCTCCAGGGGGAGCCCTGGTGAAGGGGGGCAGTATGTCAGGCCGTAGCAGAGGCTGCCCTGGGTATCTGCTCTGAAGGCGCCCCGACGTCCTGGGCACGCGTCCCGACGGCCCGACATCCAGCTGACTAGCGGCATGCGTGGAAAGCGTCCCGATGACCAGCTGGCCTTGCCTGCTTTGCATATGTGCAGACGACGACCAGCATACCACAACGCATGCGCAGATGGTCGAAAGGGCTAGAACTGCCCAATGCGCATGCGCGGACACCGGGATGAAGCCACGGACAGTAATTGAGGAAATACAAGCTGCCGAAGCGTCGGGAAGCCGTCGAAGCGTCGGGAAGCATCGGGAGGTGGCAGCTGAAGGCTAGTATAATTGGGATGGGGGCCCGTATATGGGTATGTAGGACGGTCCGGAAGAGGGTGGCGGTCCCTGGGTGTTAGCGTGGGTGTGGACTAGGCGGGATAGTTTGAAATGTATAAAAGAGCCATGACTGTAATGGTTGTCAGTGCTGACTTTAAACTGCATTTTTGCTGAAATAAAGTAAAGTTCTTCGTTCCTGACGTGGTGGCCTGTGTCTGTTGGTTGTGAAGTTGATGGTTGTTGGTTGTGAAGTCAAGACGAGGCAACAGGTACATTGTCTCTGGCTTATACTTTTGGCACATGTGATATGCATAAGAACCTCAATGCCCCATCAAAAAAGTGATGGAAGACTTTTAATGCAGAATAAATACCCAAAGCAGGAACTGGTCAAACAAGTAGTGATTATTTTGTCTCAAGATTGATCTTGGCTTATTGAAGGAGCCATGGTTAAAAAAGAACATGGCTTGCATAAAACATGATGGTTAGCCTATATATATATAATGCCTGTAGCAGACCACTGAAATGGATGGAAGACTGGAGGTTTCTGTTTTTGAAGCTGCTTGAATATTTACACTTTCTTCCTGCTTTTGGGTGAGCAACTAATTCTGCTGCTATCATCTATCTTCTAGAGCAGGGGTCCCCCATCTTTCTGGCTCCATGGACAGGCAGCAGTGATGGCAGTGGTGATGGGGAGTGTGAGCAATCTAGATCCCGTGCATCGGGAGTTAGGGAACCCTATTCTAGAGCATCTATACACATATTTTGGTGTATGAGAGAAATAGGGCTCTCATATTCTGTGTTGTCTTTCTGATGATCAAAAGGTCAAACTATGATATGAAAAGTTGACATTGGTAGAACACTATCTACTAGCTATAAGGTAGAGAGCAGGGATCTTCAAACTTCGCCCTTTTATGACTTGTGGACTTCAACTCCCAGAATTCCTCAGCCAGCGTGCCTGGCTGAGGAATTCTGGGAGTTGAAGTCCACAAGTCATAAAAGAGCCAAGTTTGAAGATCCGTGGTATAGAGATGTGTTATCTAAAAAATCCTCTTTCCCTTCAGAGGGGATAAATAAAGCTTTAATTTAAAAAACTACAGGCAACCTTACTTGAAATATTAAAATGCAAACATTCAGTGTTGGAGAAAATAGATGTCAGGGCTGTCCAGATCATAGTAGAACAGAAGTTTGCAAATTAAAATTTAAAAAGCCAAAAGAAAATATAACACTAAACACAGACCACAAGATGGCGGTGATTTACTAAAAATTACTTCCCTCTGCTCAAATATCCACAAACTTATGAAGAAAGAGTTCCAAATATTATTATGCATCACAAGATGTTTCTAACAGAAACAAATTGCTTCATCCATAGCTTGAAGTATGAATAAAGACTGAAACATAATTTGCTAATTTATACAGAGAGTTATAGACAATAAAGCTTGGTGTCACACAAAAATTGAAAACCTAATAGAAGTAGAGTGACATTTTTCTGAAGCAACAGTTCCTCTGTTTCAATTATCTGCCCTTTTCTGGCTTCTTAGAAATTATAGCTATAATTTTAGGGGCTGCTAGAAAAACTCCACTTTTTCCCGCTTTTAATCCATGGATTGCTGGCTTCTTCCCCTGGTTTAAAAAGAGTCAGATCTTTATGTGATTAGAAAGAGTTAAAGAGGGAGGGAAAAGAGTAAGTAAAAATTACTTAATAGAAAGAAGGGTGGAAGTAAAAATTCCACGTTTTCTTCCCTTTCTTCCCTTTCCCATTTTCTTGGTTTTCTTTTCATTTTTTTAAAAAAACGTTGCATTGTAATATTCTAATAAAAGTATTTTTAAGAAGTCATTTTTAAAAAAAATCTCAGAGGGAGAAATTGGAGTCACCTATGCTGACTCTGAATGTATGGACTGATGTCTGAGCCTGCATGCATCTATGTTTATAGCAGCATAAAACCTAGTGTGGTCTATACATAGTACATAATTTATTTTATACACACATATGCACACATACACATACATGCATACATCTACGCTTTCACATACTCCAACAGATAAAGCAGCAAAATCCATAGAACAAAATAGTCAAGATGGCAATTATAATATGATAGCAACCCTGCTTATTTGTATATTCATGCAATGTCAATGCCCATACAAATGGGACAGGGCTTTGACCTCACCATCATGTCTTCCATCTTTCTTTCTTTCTTTTTTACAACATATACACCTATAGATGCCACTGTATGCATTGTATTTATTATACAATGGATTTGCATAGTTGAAAATTCTGAGACTTGTAGCCTGATCTTGCCATTATGAGCAAGACAAGAAATAAATCAAATAAATAACAATCATCTACAGCAGGGGTATCAAACTGCCCACCCGTGGGCCAGATGCATCATCCAGAAGCCGTGCCCACCCCATTGCCGGCAATGGCAAAACCGTCCCGATATGTTGCGCGACGTCACGTGATGTCGCGAGTTTGACATGTCTGATCTACAGTGTCTAGAAGGCAGTATGTTGAGAAATGATTGTATAAAGTAATGCTCAGATCAAGCCATCACATTTTCAGCCAAATTACAGTTTTAACGAAAGCTTTGTTTTTCCCACTCTACTCTCCCTCCTAACCTTTTTGCTTCAATCTGTATAATGAAGATGGCTCAAAATCAAACAAACAGCAATCAGTAGAACATACAAGACATCAATTAATCAATTGGTTGATTATTTAAAATTCTTAATAGGTTGCCTCTAAGGTTAAAATTCTATCAAGGTAGCTTAGAATAATAATAATAAAACATAAACAGCACAAAACTGAAGCCAGAATGAACTAAGAACCAACAAAAAAATAAAAAACCAGCCAAAAGCAGTTAAAATCAACAACAGACTAAAATAAATTGCACTTGGCCACTTTTTCTTTAAAGAAAACATTTCTCACTTTAGGGCTTTTCTAAAGAGCTGACATACAGAAACTGATAGTAAATTCCATAGCAAAGTTCATTGCGGAGCAATCCTCCCATTTTTAGTTATGCTAAGAGTAAGCGAGCATCACCAGGTAGCATGGGCAGGCCTTCCACAATTAAGGTCTCTTTTTGTCCATAAGTGTTCATTATTTTAGAGCAGAAGTGTGTCCAACTTTGCCAACTTTAAGATTTGTGGACTTCAGCTCCCAGAATTCCCCAGTCAACATGGTAAGTTTCCATCCATTGCTTCTTGTCCTGCCTTCAGATGCTTTGGAGAATAGCTTATTTATTTATTTATTTATGAGACTTATATACCTCTTTAAGTGCAAGCACTCTCTAAGCGGTGTACACCAGTAAGCAATGTATATATATATATATATATATATATATATATTTACATTGCCCCCAACAATCTGGGTCCTCATTTTACCTACCCCAGAAAGATGGAAGGCTGAGTCAACCTTGAGCCGGTGAGATTTGAACCGCTGACCTGCTGAACACAGTCAGCTAAAGTGGCCTGCAGTACTGCACTCTAACTGCTGCGCCACCTCGGCTCATAAAGTGACCTGCAGTACTTCACTCTAACTGCTTGACCCCCTCTTCTTTGTAGCAGCTCCTCAAATATTGGAAGACCGCTATCATGTCACCCCTAGTCCTTCTCTTTATTAGACCAGATATATCCAGTTCCTAAGTTGGGCAGCATATAAATTTAATAAATAAAAATAATAAATAAGTAGAGTAAGTGGCATGTCTGCAAGATATGTTTTAAAAAATCAAGATGGCAGCAAAGCGATGCAGTTGAAGTTCTGTCTACTTTTTATGTGTGATATGTATAATAAAAAACCAATACCCTGAGGATACACCTGGTGTGTAACCACCTCTTGCATATATGATTTGCTTCATTTTCCATTCTGCTACTAAATGTTGCCTCTGAAGAAATTCATCCCACAATTATCCCAAGAAGAGTGCTATCTCCTCATGTGTCACCCCATAGCAAATTGGGAGAGGCCGAGGAAAAATGGGATTTCGTCTCTTATGGCAATCTTCTCTGGTCCAGTTCCTTCTGGATGTGTTCACAAGTGTACTCAGAAAGTGCAAAGAAAATGGGAATTTTAAACTAACATATACGGAGGGCACTGGGTTGGGGGAAGATTGTGCCAAGGTATTTGACCTTAAGCTATATTTGAGCAAAAGCTCAGTCTGTCTGTAACTTTACAAACATGCAATTAAGGTTCATGGAGTTATCTAAATTCATTTTCTTGCCTTATAATTTTATGGCCAAAAGCATTCTTGTTGATTTTAGGCTTCCTTTCTACATACAGTAGCCAAAAGAAGGAGCCAAATATTGTTTGTTTTCTTACCCATGAAATAAATTATGCCCTTTCTCTGTCTTTGCTATCTAATCTCCATCGGATATACTATTGAAGAAAGTAAGCAGGGCCTGCTGGCCTTGAGAAAACCAGCAACAAAACGTGAGAGGCTCAGGGCCTATAATTTTTATATAATAGCACGCTGTAGAAACTCAATATAGCAGCCTTGGCTGGAATAAACATGGCCATTTCAATCTGCACTCTTACTTGTCTTTAATAAATAAAAGGTATTTGGCAAGGATCCTATTACTCAAATACTGTCTAAGCCAGGGGTAGTCAACCCTGGTCTAAGCATTGCTTTATGCTATAACGTTTTCCATGCACTGGTCAATTTCTTTACTGTACTGCACTGCTGAACACAGAAAAAGAATAGGAATATCCTCTTCTTTTTATTTTTTTGCTGTGCCATTTTTAAATAGATTCCTTTTTCTTCCTAATATTATTTCGATTTGGATAGGATTGATTTTTATAAATGCATTAAAACGATCACTTGCTCACATGATATAGTCATACCATATGCATTTTGACTAAAAGGCATTTTCCGAATGCATTTAAGATACTTAATGCTAACAGGAGGTTTTAAAGGATCTCAAATACCATAAAAGTTATTTGAGATTTTTGGGGGATTGCTTCTTGAAGTTGGACTTGCAATGAATGTTTTTATATGGGTGGCATCGGATAGATGCCATATACGAAAACAGGCATTCAAGTGTGAGAAATGCATGTTTCAAATCGAATGATGCAATTCTATACGTGTCTGTTCAAAATGACTTCACTGGGACTTACATCCCAGGAATAAAAGTTTAGAGCTGTAATGGTGCCATCAAATTGTTCAAAGAGTTAATTTGCATTAATTTTGCAGACATTCCAAGATGTATCCTTCATGAATCATGGTCACATGACTGTTTGAAGCTGCAACTGGTCATAAATACAGGATACTTGCCAAAGGGGGACCACAACATTTACTGATTGTAAAAGCACCCATTCCAAAGTTGTTGTAAGTCCAAACTGTCATAAATTGACTAGTCAGAAGTCGAGGATAAACTCAAATGAATCAAAGTAAGTCAAAAGTTGAAAAACAATTGTATACTGATGATGAACATGTAATTGCTAAAATGTACAAACTTTTGTTGAAATTTGAAATGGAGAAAGACCAGGTTAAAGGGTGCATGATAAAATGGGTTAAGAATTGTGGTTATAATATACAAAAGATCAGTTAGAAAAATATGTGATTAACAGGGCTGAAATTTAGATAGTGTTATAATCTGAAAGAGTATTTTTTATAAAATGATGTATTGTTTTATACATGACTCCAGAGAAAATGTCTAGAATGTATAAAGGCGTTTCAAATTATGTTGGAAATGTGAACAACCTGAAGGGGCATTTTGTCATGCTTGGTGGGCATCTAAAAAATGCTTAAAAAAATGAAACTAAATACATGCTTTGATAGAGAGGAGTTCAAAATTAATATTCAATTGAAGTCAGAACTTTTCATTTTAGGACTAATGGACAATAATTAGAAAAAAGCCATGGAGGCTTATTTCAATATATGATCATAGAAGCAAGATTATTATATGTAGAAAGATGAAAAGTTTTGATACTACTGTCTATGGAAGAATGAGTGGTGAAATTGACATATTTTGTTGAAATGGATAAATTAACTTCTTTAATTAGAGAAAAAAAATCTACATTTATTGCTGATTGGAAGCCTCTTACAGATTTATTGTTAGAAAATGAAAAAAAAACTTGTGACTTACTGTTTTGATAATGAGACAGGATAAGTTCTAGAAAGTAGAGTATGTAGATCTTTAGAGAGAAAGGTCAAAATATTTTTGTATTTATAACTACTGTGAAGAATATCATAAACCACTTCTTTATACTTTTTTCTTTTTTATTTTTCTACAACTTTCCCCCTTTTCTTGCACTTTTTGCTTTTTCTATGATTAACCTCTTTTTCTTTTTCTTCCTTATTGTCCATTACTTTCTGTTAGCTTTTACCTTCTTGTTTAAAAGTTTTAATAAGAATTATATTACAGAAAGGAGCCTAGTATCTCAATTTTAATGGTTTGTATTGTATTTTAGGTAATGTCATTCATGTCTAGATATGGCAGCAGAAAATAAGCAAATAGTGAAGTTCTGTGAGTGAGCCATGCATTAAAACAAGGTTGATTATTGTTGAGTCCTTGGCGAAAAGCAGACACGAGAAGCAGTTGTAGTTCTCAGGTTTTCTTTTATTCTGTGTTCAGCTTACAGATGAAGGCTTCAGCAACGCCCAAAAGCTCCCAGCTTCTTATATAGGCAATTCCTGGGTCAATGTGTTACTTTTCCCACGCCAGCACCCGCGCATGCGCACATGCGCTGGCGACAGCCTGTCTGGTCCCGGGCAGCTTGCACCTGCCCGGGACTGCCTGCAAACGCCCCGAGCCTGTTTGCAAGGCTCGGGACATAACACCCCTTTCCCCCGGGCTAAGACTACTACCAACATACAATTGTTTCTTGATTCAATGTTCTACTCCCCAGTGCTTCTACTGTTTACTGGCTTTTGTTTGGCCAGCAATGTTATGTAATCCTCTAAGTATTTAGGAGATTTCCTTGCTCTCTGTGACCTTCTCAGCTCTGGGTTTCTGACAGGTGTTCCCTGACTGAGGGGAGACGTGAGCCTGTTCGCCTTATCATGCCTTGGTGCCTTCCAAGGACTGTGCCCCAATGCCTGGCCTGCTTGCTTGCCAACCGGGCTCGTCAGGCCAGGGCTTCTGTCACTTTGTGACCTGGTTGACCCGCCTAGCTGTAGGCCCTCGGGCCCCTTGAAGTGATAGACACTGCTGGGCGTCTCTGTAGAACCTCCTAGGTCCGTCCAAGACCTGTCAGGAGGCTGTCCATCCCCTAAGCCCCGTTCTGTGTCCGGGCTTGTGTGGGTTTCTGTGCCTTCCCAAAACTCAGTTGCTCCCTGATTTGGGCTAGAGGTGTTATGGTCGGGACTTGGTTCCTCGACCACCTCCCTGTATGTTTGACCCCCTGTAGGAGTTGGGGTAAGGTCAGGCCAACTCTGGGGATTATGTGCCAGCTCTCTTGCGGGGTATGCTTTATTGGGACGCTCCCGGGTATCCTCCCTGACTGGAGTGCTGTGTGGTGTAGATGGATAGTGATTGTGCCCCCGGGTGACTCCCTGGCTGGAGTAGGCGTGAATGCCTGATGATTGGGTAAGCCCCATGAATTCCTGTTTGGGGCACTCGCGGAATCTTGGAGGTGGGCAGCAGCTCGTGCCCTTCCCTTTGCTCCAAAGGGTCCCCCTCCCCCCTGGAAAAGACCCAGGAGTCTCAGGTGGAAGATCCCGCCTAGGGCGGAGTTGGTCGATGTGCCGGCGCAGGACATGACCGTTGTCCAGGGCTACCTCATAGGATAGAGGACCTGTGACCCTGGAAATAGAAGCGGGGACCCATGTATGACCAGGCCCGTAATTGCGAGTCCAAACCGGAGCACCCACAAGTAGTTGTCTAGGTGCCCTAGGATGTGAGGTAGATGAAGGCAGTCTGTCCGGATGCAACCGGTCAAGCTTCGTGGTAAGTTTGCGCCCCCAGCGAAGTTCAGCTGGGCTTCTCCCTGTAGAATTGGACGGTGTGGTGCGGTAAGAAAGGAGAAAGTCAGCCAACCTGTGATGCCAGTCCCCATAGGTGAGTCTTTTCAAGGCATCCTTTGTGATGCGGACCATGCGTTCAGCCATACTGTTGGTGGACTGGTGGAAGGGTGCAGACGTGGCATGACGAATCATGTAAGCCTGTAAGAAAGCTTGGAATTTGGAGGAAGTAAATTGAGGGCCGTTGTCAGACACGATGACATCTGGGAGCCCGTGTGCAGCAAAAATCCCCCTCAGTACCTGAATAGTCTTTGCAGTGGTGGTGGATGAGACAGGTACAACCTCAAGCCATTTTGAATGACTGTCAACGAGTACCAAGAAGAACTGGCCCTGAAAGGGCCCAGCGTAGTCAATGTGCACCCTAGACCATGGGGACTGTGTATCCTCCCATCTATGCACAGGAGCTTGGGGCATCTCTGGGCTAGAGCGCTGGCACAAGTGGCATGCATGCCCCTTAGCCTCAATGTCCTTATCTAAACCAGGCCACCACAAGTGGCTGCGTGCAAGGGCCTTCATGCGAACAATGCCAGGATGACCCTCGTGGAGGGACTCTAAGATCCTAGTCCTGATTGAGGTGGGAATGACAACTCTGCTTCCCCAAAGCAGACAACCCTGAGAAGTGGACAACTCGTTCCTTTTGGACCAGAAACTCTGAAACTCAGGACTAGGGCAGTGCTCAAGCCATCCAGACAAAACCCAAGAAAGGACACGTGAAAGTATATGATCTGTGCCTGTTTCAGCGGCAACATCCCTGGCATTCAGAGGGGACTTGGGCAAGGCTTGGATGGATAGAATGTTGACAGCTGGCGCAGGGTCAGCTTATACTACTGGCAGGGGCAATCTACTGAGGCCATCAGCATGGCCCATTTCTTTCCCAGGCTTGTGGAGTAAGGAAAAATCATATGCAGACAGAAAAATAGACCACCTAAGCATTCTAGGGGAAATGATTTGGGGAGTTTGTTTACATGTGGTAAACAGTCCCAGCAGAGGCGTATGGTCAGTGAAGACCGTGAAATGCCTGCCATACAAGAAATCATGGAATTTTTTAATTCCAGCAACAACAGCCAGAGCCTCCCTTTCTATCTGAGCGTAGTTGCACTCAGCATAAGACAGTGTTCTGGAGTAATATGCAACAGGAACCTGAGTTCCATCAGACCTGAGGTGGCTCAGGACGGCTCCTACCCCGTAAGGGGAAGCATCACAATCGATGCACACAGGAAGGGACTCATTGAAGTGTGCAAGTACACTGTTAGAAGTGAGTAAGGCCTTGACCTCATTGAAACTAGCCTCATGTGTTTGTGACCATTGCCACACTGCTTGTTTGTCTCATAGCCTGTGAAGAGGCTCAGCTACACTAGCTTTATGTGGAAGAAAGGAATTGTAGAAATTCAGGAGGCCCAGAAAGGCCTGAAGTTCGGCCTTAGACTTTGGCCTAGTTGCTTCTAAAATGGCAGTTAGTTTGGATTCAGCAGGGTGAATCCCAGCAGCATCAATTTTGAACCCCAGAAATTCAGTAGAAGGCACCCCAATTTTGCATTTGTCTTTTTTGAGCTTGAGGCCTGTTTTCCTGAACTTTAACAGGACAGCCCTTAGCCTTTCAGCTAGAATGTGTGTGGAGTCTCCTGCAATTAAGACATCATCAAAGTAGGGGCAAACCCCCAGTATACCCCGTAGTGTGTTTTCCATTACGCTTTGGAAAATCCCAGGAGCGACATTCACTCCAAACTGTAGCCTTTTTACCTTAAAGGCTCCCCTGTGGGTCACAAGAGTCTGAGCTATAGCAGCAGCATCATCAACAGGCAGCTGTTGATACGCTTGAGCTAGGTCAAGCTTTGCAAAAACGCGCCCCCCCTTGAGGGAGGCCAGAATATGACTGACCACAGGAACAGGATAGGCATGTTGCTGCAATGCCTTATTAAGAGTGCATTTGTAGTCAGCACAAATTCGAATGTCCCCATTTGCCTTTAGAGGCGTGACAATGGGGGTCTCCCAAGGGCTGGAATCAACAGGTTCTAGGATTCCCTGTTGGATCAGTTTGTCTAACTCAGTGTCAATTTTACTCTTTAAAGCAAAAGGGACCTTTCTTGCTTTAATTCTAATGGGAGTGACAGTGGGGTCTAGTTTTAAGGACACAGGGGGTCCCTTGAATGTGCCCAGCTGGGGGCTGAAGACATCTGCAAATTCTTTGCAGACTTCCTGTAGGTCAAGTGTTTGTAAACTGTTGAGCCCCGTGACGTGTATCCCCAAGGCTTCAAACCAATCGAGTCCTATGAGACTCGTTCGTTCATCCCCTACTACTAATAGGTCTAGTGGACCTTCAAAATTCTTATACTGTACGTTAAGGGTGGCCTCCCCCTTAACACACACTCTCGAATTTTGAAAGTCTGGTAACACAATGTCAGAAGGCCTTAATTTAGCCTGAGTT